AATGTTTTAAGCTTCTTTTATTATTTTTCTCTTATAATTCTCAGTAATATGCCATGGTGATGTCTTGCTAATAAAGAGTAGATATCAAAATAATTCCTTCAAGGGGCCAGGGATTTAGCTCAGTGGTTCCGCCGCCTGCCTCGCAAGCACAAGGTCCTCAATTCAATCCCCAGTACCAAAAATAATAATAATAATAATAATAATACTTTGAATACTTTGTTGGGTTTTTATGATGGACCATAATCTTATTAGCATAGCATCCAGTATCCTTTCTGATATATCCCATCCTATGACTGCTTGTGGCAAGATGTTTCCATTCACTGATCACACTGACTCAACTGTCCTGAACTATTTAGTCTCCTTCAAGATCTCTATTTCTCTCCCTTGCTCCATTTTTTTTTTTTCTTTTTGGTACCAGGGATCGAACTCAGGTCCTTGCGCCTGCGCGGCAGGCGGCGAAACCACTGAGCTAAATCCCCGGCCTCCTTTGCTCCATTTTTTTCTTGCTTGGAAGGCCTCTACCCCCACCATCATTATCTAGAGTGACTTCTCACACTTTAAAATTGATTTCTCTTCAAAGCCTTCTCTGAATCCTAAGAGTGAATAAGATAACCTGTCTTTGTTTTGTAGACATTGTCATTTGCGGATATTTAAATTGTCATGGCTTATATTAGGTTATGGTTGTTTGTTTGTCTACTTTTCATTCTCCTCAATGAATACATGTTATCATCAATAAGTGTTTTATCTTTGTCGTAAAAGATGTGCTGGGAAAAGAAACTTGATGAATATAAGGTTGATTAGTTTAGCACGTCACCTCTGGGGGGTGAGAAATGAACATAATTTATGTTCCCTGTCCAAAAAAACCAAGCTTCATAGAGAAGAAAAGTGAAGATATTTTTAGTTTATGGAAAGTGCCATAATAGTACTATAGTGATGGCTTGTTTTGTGTCTAAATAAAAATTATTTAACTCTTTTGGGGAAAAACAGTTGAAAATCAAAAGAAATATTCCTCTAAAATATAGCTATTATCACATATATCAACCATTAGAAATTTAGTACATATTTTCCAAGAATATTTCCCCTATGCATGTTTTAATATATTTACCACAGTGTAGATATATTTTAATATTGCTTTTCTTATTTTACATTTCAATATAAGAATTACAACTCCTCACAATCATAATTTTTTGAGATCTGCATGAAATGCATTGAGTAGACCTTAATTTGATTGATCACCATTCCTTTTTAGACAATCAGCTGTTTTCAAGGCTTTACTATCAGAACTATCCCACAAATTAAATCAAGTGTCAGAAGTGTAATATGATGGGCTGGGGATATAGCTCAGAGGCGCAGCACCTGCCTGTCAAGTCCAAGGTCCTGAGTTTGATTCCCAATACCAAAAAAAAAAAAACCCAAGAAGTGTAACATGATAAAATATGACAAATTTAAATAGTAATCCTATTTCTAGTTATTTTTCATAAGGTAATAATGCAAAAGAAGTATTTCTGCACTCCAAGCTAAGTTAATTCATGTTATTTGCAAAAAAGAAAATATTAACCTAAATTGTTCCCTATTATTATTTGTTCAGTTCTTGGCTGCTTATTGATTTTAGACTTTAGTGTCTTCTCTTGCTTTAGCACTTTGTGGGAGCAAAGGCAAGCTTCTGTGTTTTGAAGCATTCCTAAGAAAGCATAATTATGATCAATAATAGCAATCATTAATTAGGAAAAACACAAAAAATTACAGAACCCATAGTATAAATTCTAGGAAAATTAGAAAAGAAAGTTATATTTATCAATGTGAAAAAGTGAAAGGATACAATGTTAAAACAGTTCTGTCAAATATTATAAAATGGAATTATTTTAATTAGAAATTATTTTAGTGCTTGAAAATTTCACTTATGCACATCTCTTTCTATTATTAACTTCAGCTAAAAAACAACCTTGCATATTATTTAACAACAAAAGTCTATACTATAAGTCCTTTAACAGTGTCTTATAATCCAGTTTGATTAATTTTATTTGTACATAATTTGATGTATAACTGTATTTATATATTCATAATTGTATTCTGTCCCATATTACAATTTATATTTTATTTACTATTATAAATAAAATATTTCCATATTCCTGAGTAATATTTATAATTGAATGACTGTATGGAGCATATGTTAAATACTCATAGAGCCTCATAATCCATCTTCAGTTACTTTTCTAAGTGTATCTTCCTATCAAGTATGCTTCTTTGCACCTTTGTACTTTTCAAGAGTTGTATAAAACAATACTATAATTTTATACTGAAAGATTAGTAGAAAAAATTATTAACTATAGTAGTCACAGAAGCACAATTATAGTCCAACACTATTTCAGTTCTTCAGGTTTGAAACATTTACCAGAAATAGAAAATATTAGTATTAAATATCTTCAAAATGTCTTGATTGTTTCAACATTTTTTTAAATATCCTTTTTTTAAATATCCTTTTTTTAAATAACCCTTTAGTTTCTTTCATGTTTGTACTCACTTCTTGAGTGAACTGTGTAGTATAATGAACCAATAGTTGAAAACCTACAGCT